AATGTTATAAATAAAAATGTAGAAGAGTTAACCATTAATAAGATAAAAACTAGAGATTGGAATAAGGGAAAATAAAAAAAATTATTATATGAGACCTACATTCTTGGATCTTCAGTTCTAAGAAAGATATACAACTACAGCCTCTCATTATAATAGAACCTCTATCTATGAGTGGAATATAGATGGATTTAGTGAATACAAAATAATGAACCTAACACAAAAAATGACTATGGCAGTTGTCGCATACAGAATAAATAGGTTATAGGACAATAGCATGTTTGATAACCCAAGGATTTACCGTAAGCCTTAAAGGTTGGTAGGAAAATGTTCTCACTGAATCTGAAAAGCTTCAAGTAAAAACTTGGCATTCTATAAAGAAAGAAGAAGGTGGCATAGAAACTAGCTACCTAGACAATATAGGACAGTTGCTATATGCTATAATAAAACACTTTGTAGGAGAACCTACAGGAATACAAGAAAGATATTTAACGAAATTAATGAAACTATGATGTCCTATACTTGCAGATTTTAGATGGCATAAGATAATTTTATTCCAAAAATTTTTCAAAGACAAGAGGCTAATTCTAATTTTTGGAAAGAAAAATTTATATCTGGATTACCCAAATTTTTCAATGAAAGAGTTAAGGAAGAAATTAAATAGAGATAGAGAATAGGAACTATAAATTATAGTTCTTTTAACTTATGGATAATTAGTCCAAGTAATTAATATTATAGGATTAAAACTGTGTAATGAAATAAATATGCAGAAGAAAATATATAGAGATACGAAACAAGGAAGATTAGAATTAAGAAATTTTTGTGAGCAATATGGATTTGAGAAAATCCAAGCTCCTTCTAGAAGAAAAGAGAAAATTAGTTATAACCCAGCATTGTATAAGAAAGATAAAAAGAAAAAATGATATTGTCCTAAGTATAAAAAATCTTTTAAGAAAAAAAATATTTTCACAAAGATAAAAAAGATAAAAAAGATATAGTTTATTACAAGTGTGGTAGATTTGGGCATTATGCTTCTAAATATAAGGTAGAAAAGAAAATTAGAGAATTACAAATAAGCAAAGAAAATAAACAAAATTTGCTCAGAAAAACATTAGAAAGCAACTATAAAACTGAAGAATCATATTCTTCAGAAGAAGAAGAGCAAGAAATAGAGAAAATATTAAATATTAAAGATATAAAAAGTACTAGTGAGTCATCATCTTCTGATAATTCTGAAGAAGATTGTATAGGAAAAGAAATTTGTAGTTGTACAGAAAAACCTAGAATAAATACCTTGGATAGAGAAAATCTAAAATTCATTGTAGAAATTATAGATAAGATTGAGGATGAAGAAATTAAAAGACATTATTTATTAAAAATTAAAGATATTTTAGATAAAAAAGATAAACTTCAGGTTTCAACAGAACCAATTAGTATTAAAGACATAATAAAAAGATTTGAACCTGAATAAATAGAACTTCAATAAAAAATAAAACAAATAAAACAAGAAATTAAAGAATTAAAAGATAATGAAACCCATAGAGATATAGAAATATTGCAAATTAGAGCCCTATTAGAAAAAAAAATAAAAACAAAGATAAAGAAGTAGAGGACAACAAACATATTAGTGAAATACCAACAAAAATATATCAAAATGGGTATGTTAATGTTGTCTCACAATTAGCTTACAAAAAATGGTACTATCAAGTTATTTTAGTTATAAATCAAGAGTTTTCTAAAACTATAGTAGTTTTAGTAGACTCGAGTGCAGATATGAATTGTGCACAAGAAGGATTAATTTCAACTAAGTATTACGAAAAGACATGAAAAAATAGGAACATCAAATAATTCAAAACTAGATATATAATATAAATTGAAAAATGCTCATATTTGTAACCAAGGAATATGTTTTAAAAACAAATTGATGCTAGTAAAACTTTGACTGAACTTGCCATTTTAGGCATACCTTTTTTTGAACAGATATTACCTTTTAAAGCCAATTATGAAGGTATAATTACCAAGATAGCTGGAAAGAAAATAATTTTTGAATAGGTAAAATCTCATATAATTAAAGAAATAAAAATGTTAAAACAAGATTCATTATTTTGAGTTAATTCTATAAATAGAAAAAGGAAACAAATAAATTTTCTTAGAAAAGAAATTCATTATAAAAGAATAGAAAAACAAGTAAAAAATTCTCAGGCTAAAAAAAGAATAAATATTTTAAAAGAAAAATTTGAAAAAGATATTTGTTCTAAACATTCAAATGCTTTTTGGAATGGAAAGAAACATATAATGGAACTCCCTTACAAAGAAAATTTTATTGAGAAACAAATAGCCAGTAAAGCAAGACCTATACAAATGAATTAAGAATTGCTTGAATACTTTAAAACAAACATTCAACAATTACTTGAAAAGAAATTAATTGAACCCAATGAGTCTCCTTGGAGTTGTTTGGCTTTTTATGTGCAGAATTTTGCAAAAATAAAAAGAGGAGCTCCAAAATGAATTATAAATTATAAGCTATTAAATAAAGTTTCAAGGTGGATTGGACATCCTACTCCTAACAAAAAAACATTTCATAGGAATTCAAAATTTGACATGAAATTTGGATACTATTAGATTCAGATTGCAGAAAAAGATAGATATAAGACAACATTCATATTCCCTTTTGGACGTTACGAATGGAATGTAATGTCTTTTAGACTTAAGAATTCACCATGAATTTCAGCAAATAATGAATAATATATTCAATCCATATAGTAAATTCATTATAGTTTATATTGATGATATTTTAGTGTTTTCCAATTCCATTGAAAAGCACTTGAAACATTTAAATCAATTTTATGAAATTATTAAAGCCAATGGTCTTGTAGTTTTAGCTAGAAAAATGAAACTTTTTTTAGGTTAAAGTCAGATTCTTAAGAATGAAAATATATCAAGGAAATATTAAGCCAACTAGTCGAGCAATTGAGTTTGCTGACAAATTTCTTGATAAGATCAAAGATAAAAATCAACTACAAAGATTTTTAAGATGTTTCAATTATGTTGCTAACTTTCTTCCAAAATTAAGAATAAAGGTAGCTTTACTTTTCAAAAGGCTACAAAAAAATCAACTAGAATGATCAGATAAGATGACAAGAATAGTAAAAGAAGTTAAGTCTCAAGTCAAAAGCTTACCTTGTTTAGGGATAGCTAAGCCAATAGCTTTTAAAATAGTTGAGACAGATGCATTAGAAATAGAATATAGAGGTATCCTAAAACAGTTAAAAGAAGAAAAAGAGAAAATAATAAGATTCCATTCAAGAGTATGGTCAAAAGCTCAATAGCAATATTCCACCATAAAAAAAAAATTATCTATTGTCTTCTGTGTTACAAAATTCAAGACGACTTAATAAATTAAAAGTTTTTAATTAAAGTAAATTGTAAAGAAATAAAAGATGTTTTACAAAAAGATGTTAAGAATTTACTAGATAGCTATTTTATCTTATTTTGATTTCAAATACAATTTATAAAAAGAAAAGAGAATTCTTTGCTAGATTTCCTAACAAGAGAATTCTCACAGGGAAAAAGTAAAGATTTTCAAAAATGGGTGAGAAAGATTGAGGAAAAAGAATAGCCATATAGTTAGATATAGAAAAAAAAAGCCAAATTATCCATGAGAATAGAATGTTATGTATTAGACAAATCTTCTAAGTTGTAGATACGAGTTTTTAGTTGTTGGATTTTACTAATAAAAAAAAATTTATTTCATTCTAGTTGTTTGCCCAAGAAAAGTAGCCACTTTACAAAGAAAATAATAACTGATTTTTAATTATTGGACTTCAATCATTAAAAATTTTACTTTGAGCAACTTGTAATTTGTAATTATGTCATTTTTTTAAGAAAAATAGTCATTTTCTAAAACAAAATGGTCACTTCCTTTTTTTTTTTAGCTTGTTGAACTTTATTAATAAAAATATTTGCATATAATAACTTGTAATTTATTATATCATTTTAGTTATTTTCTTAAAAAGTTGTCATTTTTTAAAACAAACTAATCACTAATTATTATAATAAATAATTTTTTTTACAGGGACAAGTATGTTATTTTATAAAAAATAAAATATGCCAAACAAGTCCAAATGACTAAAAAAATTTACCATATTTTACAATACTCAATTGTTATTTAACTATTTCTTGGAGTTTTTTTTTCAATTTTCCCTTATTAATATTGATTGTTATTTATATTTAATATTGACATATATACTCTTTCTCTTAAAAAATATAATGTATTTTTTGAGGTGTTAGATGTTAAAAATAATAAAGCATTTTAGTCTTTCGAGGTGTAATTATTATTTTTTTAAAAATATCTTATTGATAATGATTTTATATTTATTATAAGGTGTTTAATAAGAGTAAGTATGAAAAATGGAATTAGTTTGAAAGTAGATAATTACTTTATTAAAAGTGAAATTCATATATATATATATATATTAAGAATTGTCATTATTAGCAAAATATTATTCCCTCCGTTTAAAAATGTACAGCATTTTTAACCGAATCTTATCTCCAATAAAGTAGTTACTTACTTTTAAACCCCTTATCTTTTCATATTTACCCCTATTAAACACTCTACAATAAATATAAAGTCATTATTAATAGAAATATTTTGGAAAAAAAGAAATAATTATACTTCGAAAGATTAAAAATACTTTACATTTTTCAACATTTAACTTTTAAAAAAATGCCTTACATTTTTAATAAAGGAAGTACATCTTAATTTTTAAAACCATTTCATAAAATAAAATAAATATAATTTATATATTTGAAAAATAAATATAAATAATTAATAATTAGTTAATATTCTCCACATTTGATTAATAATTAAGCCACGGAAACTTAAACGATAAAAGTCAATTCAACATTTAAGAATTGGCAAACAAAAAAAAAAAAAAATCAAATTCAAGAAATTCCAGATATTAAAATAAAATCCCTAAAACTGTAAGCTGCAACGTGGATCTGTGTGATTGAAATTTCTCGGCCTCTTTGGATCTCTCGGCTTTCTCCATTGGTTTTGTTGCTCAAACCAATTTCCATTCCCTCGCAGCGAGAGGTGTAGTGTTAAAGGAAAGGTAAGAGATGGATTTGGACCAGTGGATCGCGAAGGTGAAGGAAGGGCAGCATCTTCTGGAAGACGAGCTTCAGCTTCTTTGCGAATATGTAAGCATTTCGCTCTTCCACTCTCTCTAAATAGGGTTTATTCGGTTTACTCATGCATTCAATTGATTTCCTCCAAGGGGATAGTGTGTCACAGGCAGCAGGGTCTACTGTTGTCTCGTTCACTTTTGGGCCTCAAAATATGTTTGCCCTCAGTTCAGTTATTTTCTACTATCTCAGAATTATCATTCTTTCTTTCCTAATATCATTAGCTTTGAGTCTGTATTTCATGAAGAGTTGAAAGGATTTGTAAATCATTTGGTCCATCATTGCCTTATATAGCTCAAGCACTGAGGTAGTTGTTCTCTCTTTGGGTTTCTGTTGTGTGAAGTTAGCCATAAGTAACTTTGGTGGGGGTAAAAGGTTGGTTATTTTGGTAAGCGACAAGTCCTTTTTCTTGCATCAAGGGTCTATTTGGAATAAGATTCAATCCGTTCGTGGGTTAGAAGGAAAATAACGATCTCGTGACCCTTCTGACTTGATATCTCTTGCGGGGGCATTTTTTTGTGTTTTCTCTATAAGACTATCATTGCAATATTTCTGTAGTTCTGGTGTCAGGTTTGTTGTCTGTGCGCCTTGAGATTTTTCTGTCTAGACTGGAGAAGTACTTCCTTTTATATTTTAACTTTCGAACAATTAAATATTCGATGAGCCACGACTGCTGCTCCAGCTATTCTTTCATGACATTTCAGGTAAAAGAGATCCTCATTGAGGAGTCCAATGTGCAGCCAGTGAATAGCCCGGTAACTGTTTGTGGTGATATTCATGGCCAATTTCATGATCTGATGAAACTTTTCCAGACAGGGGGTCATGTACCTGAGACAAATTATATCTTTATGGTAGGCGCTACACTTCTGTCAAGAAACTTTATTGATGAATGTAAGTTTTTCCTTTATCTGATCCTATATGTGTTGCAGGGAGACTTTGTTGATAGAGGGTACAATAGTCTAGAAGTTTTCACCATCCTATTACTTCTTAAAGCTAGGTATGTAAATTTCTTGCATGTTTGCATCCGTCTTTACTATTTCAGTGTTCATATGAACTTGGGATATATACACAAAATCTACTTGCGTCATATGTCATAATAGCATAATTTTTAATCTTTTATCCTTGTAAACTTGTGGGTTGAGGTGGAAGATTTTAATTTTCTCTAAGCTTTTGTCTAACCAATAGGGAAGTTTACTTTTTTAGGGTGCCAGTCTGACATTGGCGGATGAGTATGATTGATTCATCAGTTGTCATGATGTCAATAGATCATTCAATCCATCCTTAATATTATTTTATAAGCATCCTTACCATTGAACAATTTGAATGTGAAAATTCTGTTTCATGCTGACAACTCTGCCATTTTCTTTCTTGTAATGTTATGAACCTTACAGGATGTGTGAGATGGGAATTTCTTTATAAACTCTAATTCAGAACAACTCTCCAATCTCTGTAAATCCACTAGGGACATCCCCTTAAAACACCATTCATTGAAAGCCATGAGGAGACTGTGATAGTAATCCCCCCCCCCAAAAGAAGATATGGAGGAAAAAACTTCTTAGCAAGAATTATTAGCAATCCAATCTGAATAAATACGCTACAATTTTGATTAAAAGACTGATCACATAAATCATCTTTGATTTTAAGGCTGCTTAGCTTTTCTATTGGTTGTAATGTTTCAATGCTTCATTATGTTTGGATTGCAAAATGCATTGGATTTTAATTATTGAAAATTGCTTGACAATTAAATATTAAGATGAATGGAAAATGATGATGTGAATGGAAAAGAAATGAAGAGGTGAATGGAAAATGATCTGTGTACCCTTTCTAAAAAAAATTATTATGTGAGATAGATAAAGTTGAGTGATAATAGTAGGCAACGATGATTGCATAACTGAAGGTTTTTTGTTTTCTGCGCAACTCTAATGGATTTCCTTTCCACTGACTATCAAACTGACTGAGTCTGCTGTTGCTTTAGATTTCTTTATTATTTCAGCTTTTTTTTTCGGTAGGTATTGTTATTCTGTGTTATTTATGTACTTAATTTACTTAATTAATTATTAATTAATTTGTATTGGTGCGCCATTAATTTTTGTGTAATTTTATAGATACCCAGCTAATATTACCCTTTTACGAGGAAACCATGAAAGTAGGCAACTAACCCAGGTATGTTCTTAAATCATCATGCACTTCTCTACTGTCTCTGCCATGACAATTATGTTTGTCAGTTAGTGATAGGCAGCATGACACATCATTTTAGACTAGCATTTTTATCTTTAGTAAATAGTCTATGCAGGAGATTTGGGATGTTGTCCATTATTGATGTTTGCACCATCTCATTCTAACATGTCAATTCCAATCTTAAAACTGGTGCTATTGTTTAATGTAGAATTGTTGATTGTGATGCGGCTATATGCAAGACTTCATTGTATGCTTCTTGATAGAATCGGCTGAGTCATTAGGGTCTCAGCCTTAAGTTTTATTTGACTGCAATATGGTACATATTAACATATATAGGACATGCAAGGAGGCGTTTTCAACCATGGTTAAATCTAGGTATTATCTACATAATCTTTTTCTAAAAAAATATCCTAACTTGCTGAATTCTAATGAGATAAAAACTGAAGATAATCAAGCAGTGAATAATTAAATAATAAAAAACCAGCAATAGCTTTAAACCCTAAGCCACTGGGCTGTGACTTTGGCCCCTAAAGACCTCTTCATTTGGTCCACTACTTACTTACTAGATGGTGATTTTCTAGATTTCTCTAGTTCTTGCTTTTGAGTTCAAATATGTTTGAAGGCCAATTGGTGGCAAGGGTTAAGAAAGAGCTTTGGGAATTTTCAATTTGAAATTTATTTGCACAAAATACGTAATATGTTAGAATCTACTTTCTAGGACCTTTTTGTTTTTGTTCAAGATATGAGGAAGTGAATTGGTTCTTTAGGCTGTAGTTTACGACCCATAATCTTATATTGAATCGCTCGTGTTAGGCTAGATGTATTTATAGAAGAGTGCTTTTGTATAGTATTTTGTTACAACAATAACTAACTATGACAGTATCTTACTGAGTTATTGAACCTCTCATGCCCCCTCAAACTTAGTGTGGGTTAGAGACAGCATTAAGTTTGGATCGAAGATAAACAAACTGATCAGAAGCAATAGGTTTTGTTGATACAACTGCGAACTGATCCTTGGATGAGTCTTGAGCCACCACAAGTTGCTTTTGTAGGATCTTCAAATGTACAAAGTGGTTATCTAATTTGACGTGCTTTATACGTGCATGAAGAATCAGATTGGTAGTCAAAGCCACTACACTTGGGTTGTCACGATGAACCACAAGCAATACTTAGTAGGACTGGAAGTTCTGACATGAGTTGAATCCACATCATTAGCTAGACTCTTATGTTCAACTTCTATGCATGATCTTATGAGAGGATTCGAGGATTGCTTCTAGATTACTGTGCCACTAGATTTGCACCTGGACAAATATAGCCCCCTAATGTGGACTGCCTATCATCAACATCACAACGCTATCAGCATCACTTAGGACTAAACTCAATGTGGATGATTTCTTCTGACAGATTCCATAGTTAATATTCCCTGTAAAATATGTCAGCAGACCTTTTGACTGTTGCCTAGTGGCTATTTAACGATCTATGAATAAATTGTTAGGCTTTATTTATTGAAAAAAGCCATGGGCAGTTTATGGTGATGTATTGTAATACAACAAGAGTGGAATAATACAATTGAGGATCATCCATTATTACACTTATCGCATGAGTTGATAATTTTGTATCAGGAGGCATTTGAGTCTTTGTATACTTTGCCTCTTCCATCTTTGCCTTTTGGGCAAGTCCTAAGCGTTTCTGGATTGAGATAGGCAAGTTGTCATCATCAGTTTTCTTGATCCAACTTTTGAGAAAATAATTCAATTGACCCAAATCCTTTAATGCAAAATCCTTATTTAGGTTAAATGAACAAAGAGGAATCACATCTAGTTGATTGAACTCGGAGAGGATGGAGTGTAGTGGTTAGCTTCATAAACCAATGTCTAGGAGCTTGTTTAAGTCCATAGAGGGCTTTGTGAAGTTTGCATACAAGTGTTTTGTCACTAGATTCAAATCCTTGAGGTCGGCTCATGCATACCTCTTCTTGAAGATCATCATTCAAGAAGGAATTGCTGACATTTAGTTGATGTATATGCCAGCCATATGGTATAGCATAGGTAAGCACCACTTAAATTGTTACAAGCCTTACCAAAGGTTGAATGTCTCAGCATAATCATAAGTAGGCTTTTGATAAAAGCCTTAGCAATTAATTTTGCCATAAACTTGTTTATAGTGCCGTTAGGATTTTTGTACCTAATTTTCAGACTTGAGCAGTGGGAACCACATGTATGAGATGCCTCACTAATACTGGCTGAAGTAGAACCAGCTTCATTGGTAGAAGAGTTGCCTAATCTATAGCATTAGCTGTACCAACATTAGTATGAAAATTGCGGAACAAGGGAGAGTTTTCAAGCAAAGGTCTCAAAAACTGATGATGGCCTCTGTGCCTCCCTTTTTATTAATAATAAGTTATGTACAGATCCTCGGGTTTTCTAGTAATCTCACTAGTAATGATATCTAAGGGAATAAATTCCAGCAAACCATATATAAATGTTAAGTATTTAACCTCATAATAAAAAGAAACAAAAAAGAAATTGATAGTAAAATAAATAAATAAAATAATCAGCAATCTTCAACGCTTCCCCTCAAGTTGGGGAGTAGATGTAAATCATCCCCAACTTGGAGTTGACTTCATCAAACTTTTCTTGTGTGTGAGTGCCTTTTTCATTATAGGGAAAATCACAACCAAGGATTCCTAGAGAAACATATTCACTGTTGAGGACCAATGAATTCTGATTTAATACTGCAATCCCTGGAGTCCTAACTCTGAAAATCAGAATATTTATGTATTTTCACAATCACAATTAATGAAAAAGTTAGGACCTCAGGGGCTGCAGTGTCCAGACACTTAAATCCTTACGTGCTCCTCTTCTAAACAATAGTCCTTGTTCATGTGGGCTCTAATTTTGAAGCCTTAGCTTGTGACTGGCTTGCACCCTGGCATTCTAGTTTCTTCAAGGCCAAATTATACTTTCTTTGTGACATTGAAATTCCTTCTCTCTTCCGGTTTACTTCCATACCTAGGGACTATCTCATCTGACCAACTCTTAACTTAAAACTCTATTACAAGTTTTTTCATTAAGTTGTTTATCTCTTCACTAAACTCTGTTGTAATGACTATGTCGTTAACATAGACTATCAAGATAGCCATCCTATCATTTGATCCATGCTTGGATAAGCAACATGTGGTACTGTGGTTAGTTTCATGCTAGAGAAATCCAAGGCTCTTGATTACTTTGGAGTTTGGTGAGCTAATCAAACCATGTCCTAGATGATTGTTTGAGGCAATAGAGTGATTTGTTTAGTTTGCACATTTTGTTTCCCTTTACTTCATTTTCCAAACTTTGGGAAAATTTCGTTTGCACTTCCTCCTTAAGATCTCCATTCAAGGGGGCATTTTTGACATCTAATTGATGAAGTGGCCTGTTTAAGTATGCTACTATTGAGATGTGGAATTTGATTGTGTTGAGTTTGGAAACTGGAGAAAATGCTTCTTGATAATCAAGAGACCATGTCCTGTTCTTTTGGAGTGCATCCAACTCTTCTTGCAATTTTTCTCTCCATTGGGCCTTATGCTTCATGAACTGAGCTTGGGATTTTTTATAGGGACACTTGCATAAATGCCTGCATTGTAGGTTCCAACTTATCATACGTAACAAAATTAATGATAGAATGTTTAGTGCCACTTTTCACCCCTCTCCTCAGCAATATGGAGATATAAATCTTCACATTCCACCTTTTAACCAATCTTCTCATTAGAATTTAGATAAAGAGGATGATGAGACTGACCTTGCTTAGAGAATGTGTCTTGGGTCACATCTTCTTCACCTCGATCCTTGCCTTTTTGCCTATTCTTTTTGCTGTTGCTTGGCACTTGGACTAGAGGTCTCATTTTGGGACTGTTTGGCTTAGGTTTTTGTTGTCTGTGTTCTTGGGGTTGTTCAGGATTTGGTTGAGATAGGTTCAAGGTGTACATTGTTTCTGGATTTGTTTTGAGTTCTAGTTCTGGCAGCAACGTTTCTTGAGACACCTCCTTTTGAACATCCACGTTCTCCCCTTAAATGGGTGATTTGGAATAAAAGGTTTGTTCTTAATTCTTAAAGAAAGTGATATTTGAGGGAATGTACAATCTTTTTTGTCGTTTGACAGTGGCACTTGGAACTCTTTTTGACAGTAGAGTTCCCCAAAAATGCATTTGACGGATTGTGGATTTAGTTTATTCCCCTCCTCATTGTGAGCGCGTTCAAAGACTTTGAAGAGAAGAGAATGTAATTGAAGGTACACTTTATTAGCATGTGGAACATGAAGGACATGGTTAAGAGTGGTTGTAAGGTATAGGGAAAATGAGTGTTATTATACCTCATTATTGATATTTTAACTTCTACTGTCTGCTATATGAAGCTATCATGTCCCATTATAGTCATCTTTCATTGATAGATGTCTCCCTTTGTTGTGATATGATTTGTGGTCCTTGAATTTGGGTAGTGTGCCTGATTGCCAACGCTCTAGTTGATTCAATTTAGTGTTGTTGAGTGCTTTCTAGATTGATGAACAATTGAGCAAACTTGTGTTGACATTCCCATGCGGTGTGTCCATATTTCCCACTTACTTGACTCTATGAGCGTGTGCTATAGCCTTGGTAACTGATTACAAGTCCATGACCTAGCTTGCCCTCGAGTAATAGTTCCACCATGACCCCTCTTTGGTTCAGTTGATCTTTGTATGGTGGTTTTCGATTCTATTTGCTCGCTTTGCCATTGCTTTGAGTAAGATATGGTTGGTGATTGATGGTTGCAAGTGGTACAGCCACTTGTTCTTTTCAGTTTGTTCTTCTTGTGCCATCAATACAACTTTCATTTCTGCTACAGCATGCAAGTCATTTCTTGATGTTGTGGTTATTTTGAGTGGGTCATAATCTTGAGGCGAACCTTCAAAGATTGCTCCAATGTGTGCCTCAATTGACACATGTTCTCTGATAGCACCCCATGCATCCACAAACTGTTTTACCTTCAAAAGAAAGTTGTAGATTCTCAAATCATCTTTCATGAGGTCCTTCAATTGATTCTGGAATTGCTTCCCTTTCTCTTCTATGACGTGAAGAAAACTTAAAAATTTTGATGCACTTGGTATGAATGATGATACTCCCGCCTTTTGGGCATGCTAATCCCCCGGTCATTGATGATAAGGGCCACAACATGGTGACGTAGTCTTGCTGCTCCCAATTTAGAAACTCTTGCTGTAGTTTCTGCTTGACCTACATCTATATTTTTTTACTGATTAAGTTGCACATAGGTTGTGATAAAATTGATAGCATCAATTATTTAATTGTTTTTGATGTGAAGAGATTTATGAGTTGTGACTACAGTCTTGCTTGTCTACCTACTGAGCAATAAAGTGATATATATTTAAAATTATGAATTTTAAATATCAACATTTAACTTGCTGATTTATTCTTATTTTGCAATTTACCTTTTTCAGGTCTATGGATTTTATGATGAATGCCAGAGGAAGTATGGAAATGCTAATGCATGGCGGTATTGTACAGATGTTTTTGACTACCTAACACTTTCAGCAATAATAGATGGAACTGTAAATATCTTCTACTTTTCTCCTCCCTCCCTCTGTCCCACCATGTGTGCATGTTGGTGTGTTGGAATTTGGACTTTATCTTCTGTCTTAAAAAGAAATTTTATTTACATGTTCTGTGTTATCCAGGTGCTCTGTGTTCATGGCGGTCTTTCTCCTGACATTCGAACAATTGATCAGGTTGTCATTTTTCAGTGCCGTTCTGATTTGTTGGTTACACTCTATATATATTTAGACTAGGCAAACTTATGATTGTCTTCAGGTCTGTGTTTTGTGTTTTACCTATTACACCAATCATCTTTGTGCTCTCCCCATGTTAGAGCTAATTTGTGTGGTGGATTTGATTTTGTTTGTTAGTCTACAAAATTAATATTTTGCACGCAATTGGTTGCTTTTTTTATCCCCTTTTTTTCACATTATTACAAGCAATATAAAATGGTGACCCTTTTTTTTTACCATCATTTAATAATAAATCTTTTTTCCATGGCAGATAAGGGTTATTGATCGAAATTGTGAAATTCCACATGAGGGACCCTTTTGTGATCTGATGTGGAGTGATCCTGAAGATATTGAGACATGGGCTGTGAGTCCCCGTGGGGCAGGCTGGCTTTTTGGATCCAGGGTCACTTCTGAGGTACTGTAATTTTAGTTTTGAATTATTCAAAGAATTGATTTTTTTTTTTAATAAAGACAAGAATTTATTGATGAGAAAAACAATAAGAAAACAAACGACAAGAAAGCTTCCCAGAACGTGAATATAAGAAATTGCAAACTCACAAGGTCTCGAGATTTTCAATCCATGTGAATCCCCAAGGAACACCACCCCTTAAAAAACCATTTGCTGAAACTCATTAGGAAAACATGGAAATTATTCTCTCCCAATTTAGATATTGTGGAACAGACTTTAGTTATAGAATTGAAATTTATTGTTGTCTTATGAATGCTTCATTTCTGATGCAGTTCAATCACATAAATAATCTTGATCTTGTTTGTCGTGCCCATCAACTTGTGCAAGAAGGCCTCAAGTATATGTTTCAAGATAAAGGCCTTGTAACTGTAAGTATCACATTTTCAAAATTGAATTAAACTATATTCAATTAATTTTATTTGTTTACTTATTTTATTAAATATATTTCAGTCTTCTATGAAAATGAATAAACCAACAAGTCATTGCTTTTGAATTTTTACAGGTATGGTCTGCACCTAATTATTGTTACCGATGTGGAAACGTTGCTTCTATTTTGAGCTTCAATGAAAATATGGTCAGTCATCTATCGCTTGCGTTGTGTTTAAATATACACTTATGATGATCTTTGTAACAGTTAAATTGGTGTTGTGATATGTATTAAGCCATTCTTTATGTATGTTTCTCATTTTCTGTAAATATAATTTTTTAACAAAACAAGAGCTGCACTTTTCTACGTGAATTGAATTGAGTTCATTTGTACATGACACCCCATGTTTCTCATTTGCTTTTGAATCTTAACAAGTGTTAGTGGAATTGGACTTGTTTCGCTGCACCATTTTTAGACTTTAAGGTGACATATTGATTATTTTTCAGCTTTCTGAGTTGGGCAAATCAGCCCACTTAAGTACCCCATACAGCATTTTGTACTACACAATTTGGGACTAAGCTGCCATTATGACCTTGGGCTCCATCAATATCATAAAAATTAACTTTTCAAGCATACATTCATATATGAAATAATATGTTGAAGATAAGTATGATAATACGGAAAACAAGATTTGGTTCGCCATCATACCAAAAAATGACATGGCTTTTCAAATTTTAGAAAAATATATTTATGCATTTATTACTGAGGAATCCGTGATTTTCCCTTTAGTGAGTTTCAAATTGTTTTCATTTATTTTTCGTGAATTGTCAACTTGAAATTCTGGGGCATTTATGTACATCTTCTATAGTTTAATCTGGTCACTTTGATTACTCTATTTCTTTTTTGATTGTTTTATGCCAAACTTCCCTTGCAAAAGAGAAAAAACATGATTTTTTTCCTCCCTACTCTGCACCATGGTAGTATAAAAATCACTTTTCATGGAAGCTTCTATCCTCCTCCATTTCCCAAAAAGATGGCTCCATCGTACTATATGTCCTAAGTGAATTTCTCCTCAGCTAAAAGATTTATTCAAGTATCTCCCGACACAAGCACTCACCAGAAAGGCAAAGGCTTCTCAAAACTACATTGGCACATAACAAACTACTGGCTTGATAGGCTAGCTCTCTTCACCGAAAGTTCTTCAAACTTCTTCTGATATACTTTCCTTGTTTCCTACTTCAATGCTATCCCCGTCACTGCTTGGATTGTACTTCTGGTGATGGTTCCAGGTATTTGGAAAGCCATTTTGAATGCCATTGTTATGTGGTGAGCTTATAGAAGAGTATTATTGAATTTTTAGAACATATCCCCCCCCTTCGTACTAACGAGTCTTGTTAAATTTACATATCCCCACGCTTCATACTAATGAGTCATTAACTACCGGACTTTCTTAACCATTTCCCAACTGACTGCTAATTCCCACGTAATACCTAGTAACAAAAGTAAGATGATTAGGAGAACGGTGAGAGGGAACCAGGGAAGAACCACATACCTAATTGTTGTCTGGTAGTATATGACGGATATTCAGTTTGGAGAAGAGGTTTTAAGGCTATCTAGTAATGTACTGGGACAGTCTCTAATCTTTTGCATACTAGAGGTTGTGTTTCCTGTTTGGGATTTCTCTTATGCTCGGGTATGCATTCATTTTTCCCATTTCTTGGAATCAGAGTTGCAGTTCCTTTTCTCTCTAAATAATGCAAATCAATTTAGAGAATTCCACCATTTCCTTTCATTTGTTTTATTTTCATGCTGGTTAAGGTAAATTTCCATTCCCCTTTTTGCTTAGATTGTAATGTTACTAAGGCAGCTGTCCCCACTCACACCATGCCTACTACTGCATTTTGGATCTTGTTGCTTTTGGCTGCCTTTTCCAGTTGGTTATTTTGGGTGAAAGACGTTAGTTCTCATGCTGAAATAGATTTATAGAATCTGATGGAACTTTATGCTATTCGAACGAATTAAAAAACAGACACAATAGGAGGAATACGATGGAAATCAATACTCAATTTTGTCCTTTCACTCGACAAGAAATATCCCCTGAAATACATTCAACAATCACCATTCATAACATAGAGAAAATTATATTGAAACAAAGGAATCAGAAAATAAACCTGCTCTGGCACTGGGGAAGCCAGAATTCTCTCAGAATCCTTTACTGGGCTCTCTCCACCCTCCTTGCAAACAACGCCCCACCAAATTCGCTACTTTATGTAGACTTCTCGATCTTCAATCTAACTGCCCTTCAATCTCCTCAACTAGTTTATCATTCGGTATGTACGATGGAATAGAATGAAAAGGGTGACTTTATAAATTACAGATATCATTTCTGCCTCCTGAAAATAATAGCTAGCTTGATGGGTACTTAAGTAGGATGGGGAATCTTGCCCTAAAAGCTAGTTATTGAGGTGAGAACCAACATAAATGTCTCATTGAGCATCCCATACTATTCAATATGGGACTTGGTATCTCATACTACTAAGTCTCTATTAGTTGGCCTTTCATGATGCTAGTTGGAATCCTCCGTGGGTAGTTCTTTTCAGAATTGCTGATAACTACACTCTAGTACCAATATGATGGGTACCCAAATAGTTTTGGGATATGGTTTTCCATCCTACTTAGATACCTATCACAGTTAGTTATTAAGATGAAATGCTCATCCAAGTATGATATGTTTTGAGAGTGCTTAGTGTAAAATTATGTGCATCGTACATGCTGTACTTAGTTATGTCTTAGCATGTTATGAAACCAGTAAATGTGGGTGAAGTTGTTATGTGATCATCTTCCCCTTTATTCTGTGCCTGTTGGAGCACTTTGTTGTACGTGCTTACATTTTTACTTGCAACAGGAGAGAGAGGTTAAATTTTTCACTGAAACGGAGGAGAACAACCAGATGAGGGGGCCTAGGACAGGCGTTCCATATTTCTTGTAACTGAATTTTGGTTTATCGTAAAATTTGTAATAGTAAAATGGCTTTATTATTGTATTTGGACATTGATTGTTGTGTAATGTGGGTTTTTGGATTGCAACACTTAAAAGGTGGATCTAATTATTTGCCACTTGATTCCCATTTTTCTTTTTCCCTTCCTATTTTTTCTCTAAAATTCTTTCAATGTACTAAAACGCTTAAATAGCAGTGCTCATTTTTACCCACAAGGATTACCTTTGACGGGGGAAGATTGGTATCCTTCAGGCTTGATTTGGACGGTTAGTTGTTGGATCATTCTTTATTTTCTCATGTTGCGAAATACAATGCTAGCAAGTCTGGCACTTCCACACCGAATCTTAGAACTCTTTGTATCAATGAAATTTCGTAAAATTTGAGTGTATTGTATAAGTAGTTTGTGAAGTTTTTAAGTCTTCATATTTTTAATTCTAATACAAGCCAATAAATATGGACCAAGTAAATTTCATTAGTAAAAGGATAGTGAGAAAAATGTGAACGTTTTTTATTTCGGGTGTAAGAATGCTAACGTTTTTTATTTCGGGTATAAGAATGCTTACTACCATTCATGAATGATGATGATGTGATTGAAGTTGGAATAGGAAGGAAAGGAAGAGACAAAAAAAAAAAAAAAACTTAATCATAATATATAACTTTGGATATTTATAAATTTATTAAAACTTAAACCATAAATGAATTAGATTTAACCAAACCGCGTAAAGCTTGAACGCAATTGATTTTAATAAAAAAGGTCAAATGTCATTGTGTACAAATAGAATGGTTTGGTTTTGGTAAGCAAGCGATATCCTTGAACGCCTTTACATGATCGAGCACATTTTGGTGCCTCATTCTTTAACAAGCACTCATATATTGTATTCCTTCTCAATAGCAATATAAGTCTTTTTTTAAACAATTAATGTTTCATTTTTATGTCCTTTCATTAGTTTAATGCAACATTTATTGATATTTTTTATTATGTACTTATTTTTAATCACAATGTAACACTTATGGGAAAACTTATTTTTTATTTTCATTTTATTAATTATAAAAATAGAATAATGAAACTTTTAGTTTTTCAAGTTGGTCTTAGTTATTCGTTTTGTCTTTTAAGTTTAAAGTTTATTTTTTTTTCAATTTGAGATATTAAGTTTGCTTTAGTGTTTTTTTTTTTGTTCTTATTGTTTAAACATGAGGTAATACTGTTGAAATCTACTGACATGAATAAGGTAATAGACGGTATTCATGTAGATTAATGCAAATAAGTGTAATTATTTTGGTAGGAAAAAATAGATTAAAAAAACTAGTAATGTAAATTGGATTGATGAAATTAAATTGATTTGAGAGCTAATTTTTTTTTTCATTAGGTACATGAACATGACAGATCATCATTATACTTTTATACATTAGATTAATTTGAGAGTTAATTTGTATTTTAAAATTTAAAGGTCCAAGATAATAATTTTAGAAAGTGTAAGGAACTAAACCAATAAAAATTACACTTGAAGGGTCAAATGGATAACTAAGACAAATTGAAGGGACTAAAAGTTTCATTATCCCTTTATGAAATGACTGTAGGGGAAATTCCATAATATAAGAAGAATTTTGTCGTATTAACTAGATTTCTTAATCTGTGTTTATATATACATTTAAAAAATCTTTGTTCTGAAATGAAGGAATTATCTCATATCCATACTCTTGTACACGTGTTAGTCTCATTGTTTTATTTCTATGCCAATTGACAATAATACGTAGGGATGTTTTAAAAATAATTAGTATCTTTATGATAATTACTACATTCAATCAAACTCTCTAGAAATTATGTAAAATATAATAATTGAAATGCAATATTTTTTTTACATGAATTCTTAATTATTAATCATATCATGATTATCATGTAGGGCATGCACTAACACTATATCACACTAACACTACCACACAGTAACCAAATTAAAAGTAGAAATTCCGTGTAGATTCAACTAAGTGGTTGAACTGCTTACAAGCTGAGGATTCGTGTGTGTTTTTGAATCAGCGATTTTGTATTTGTCAATTCTAAAAATTAGCTTTTAATCTTCACACACACACACACACACACAAACACACACACACACACAGAGAGCATGATGTATGAACATTTTGCTTGAGCATTATTAGATAAGATGCCTAAATGAAAGGCATTATATGATATTTTATGAGAAAGGATATACATAAGGAATGTTGGGACATTAAATTGTAAATCTGTAGAGGTTGTAGGGGTTATGATTCAAAGGAAAATCAATATCCTTTGCTTGCAAGAAACAAAATGGCGTGGAGAAGAAGCTAAGGATATTCAAGGTTTCAAACTTTAGTATACAGGAAAAGTAAGTGCACGCAATGGAGTAGGCATCATTATAGATAAGGAGTGGAAGAAGAACGTTGTAGAAGTTAGCAGAATTGGAGACAGAATTATTTCTTTAAAAATGATAATTGGACGTGAGACTGTTAATATTGTTAGCGCTTATGCGCCGCAAGTCGGGACAGAAGCCAGTCTTAAGGAATTATTTTGGAAGGATCTGGAGGGGTTGATTCGACACATACCACAGAGTGAAAAGATTTTTATTGGAGGAGACTTTAATGGGCATGTCGGGAGGGAAACTGGTCAGTATGCGAGGGTGCATGGTGGTTTTGGTTTTGGAGAGCTAAACAATGAAGGGCAAACTCTTCTTGATTTCTCATTGGCGTATGATTTTAAGATTGCCAACAAGTTTCAAGAAGAGAGATGAGCATCTCATCACCTACAAAAGTGGAGCCTCAAGGTCGCAGATTGATTTTCTTTTGGTTAGGAACACAGATAGAAAACTTTGTAAAAATTGTAAGGTGATCCCTGGAGATGCGGTAACGACACAACATAGGGTCCTAGTTCTTGATGTGTGTATTATGAGTAAAATCCAAAAACGTCGACAAGTAGTAATACCAAGGATTAGGTGGTGGCAATTAAAAGGTGAGAAGCAAGATATTTTCAAGCGAAATCTTTTGGATAAAGGAATTTGGGATTCTCAGGGAAGTGCTAACATCATATGGGAGGATATGGCTAAAAAGATACGGGAGGTTGCAAAAGTAGTTTTGGGAGAATCGAAAGGTTCTGGTCCAAGAGATAAGGAGTCTTGGTGGTGGAATAATAGTGTACAGGACAAAATCAAGTATAAGAAGAACTGTTTTAAAGCCATACATTTGTGTAACAATGAGGAAAATTGGGAGAGGTACCGTATGGCTAAGAAGGAAACTAAGAGAGCTGTGGGTGAAGCTCGTTCTAAAGCTTTTGAAGAATTTTATAAGAACCTTGAGACGAAGGAAGGAGAGCAAAATATTTATAAGATTGCCAAGAGTAGGGAAAGAAAATCAAGAGATCTAGAACAGGTAAGGTGTATTAAGGATGAAGAGGGAAGAATTTTAGTTACAGATGATGAAATTAAAAATAGATGGGAGACTTATTTTTCTAAACTTTTCAATGATGGAGAGGATTCATCTAGTAACTTGGAGGATTTAGTAACTGGTGAAGGAGAACAAAATTTGTCATTCTATCAAAAAATACGTGATAAGGAGGTAAGGAAGCTCTTAAGAAAATGGCAAATGGTAGAGCTAACGGACCTGATTGTATATCTATCGAAGCGTGGAAATGTTTAGGTGAAGAAGGGGTGAGATGGTTAACTAAGTTATTTAATGTGATTTTACGGTCCAAGAAAATGCCTGATGAGTGGAGGAGAAGTACATTAATTCCTATTTATAAAAATAAAGGAGATATTCAGAATTGTACTAACTATAGAGGGATTAAACTCATGAGCCACACAATGAAATTGTGGGAGAAAGTAATTGAGCACAAGTTGAGATTGGAGACAAGTATTTCTGAGAATCAATTTGGTTTTATGCCAGGTAGATCAACTACAGAGGCGATTTATCTACTAAGGGGATTAATGGAAAAGTATCGTTGTAAAGATAAAGATCTACACATGGTTTTTATTGATTTGGAAAAAGCTTATGACCGTATACCAAGAGAAGTGCTTTGGAAAGCGTTGGAAAAAAAGGGAGTACGGATTGCTTATATTAAAGCCATACAAGATATGTATGAGGGGGTAAAAACTAGTATAAGAACGCCTAGTGGTCAAACAAAGAATTTTCCTATAAAGATTGGACTACATCAGAGATCATCTCTGAGTCCTTATTTGTTCAACTTGATTTTAAATGTTTTGACGGAACATATTCAAGAGGAAATCCCGAAATGTATGCTCTTCACGGATGATATAGTTCTTATAGCAGAGACAAGAGAAGAGGTTAATTGCAAACTTGAGTTATGGAGGAGGACATTAGAGTCGAAAGGTTTTCGTCTGAGTAGAAGTAAGACGGAATATTTATATTGTAAATTTGATAAAGGACTATTCGAAAATAATTTGGAAGTGAAATTGAGAGATCAAATTATACCTCAAGTGGAAAAGTTTAAATATTTGGGAGCCATTATTCAAAATGATGGCGAAATCAGTGGAGATATTTCACATAGAATTCAAGCTGGGTGGTTTAATTGGAGAAAAGCTAAAGGAGTTATTTGTGACCGTAAGGTGCCTAATAAACTTAAAGGAAAGTTTTATCGTACTGCTATCAGACCGGCAATGTTATATAGTAGTGAATGCTGGGCTCTAACGGGACAGCAAGAGCATAAAGTTGGAGTAGCAGAGATGAGAATGTTACGATGGATGTGCGGACATACACGTAAAGATAAAATTCGAAATGAGCACATACGTGAAAAAGTGAGGGTGGCACCTATTGAGGAAAAAATGGTAGAAAATCGGTTGAGATGGTTTGGGCATGTACAAAGAAGACCAAGGGAGGCACCAGTGAGAAGAGTGGAACATATAACTTTGAGTCCGATTAAGAGAGGTAGAGGAAGGCCTAAGAGAACACTCTTGGAAGTTGTTGAATGTGATCTCTTAATTAATAATATTTCTAAAAGCTTAATAAATGATAGAGCACAATGGCGTCTTGCAATCCATGTAGCTGACCCCACCTAGTGGGATAAAGGCTTGTTGTTGTTGTTGTTGTTGATATACATAAGGATCTGCATTTCATTTGTGGTATAGGACATTGAAGTTATTTATTCATTTTATATGATATCATTATTTTTAAGTGGTCTTTTGCACACTAATTGAAGGAATACTAAATAAATAATAAACCTAATAAGGGAGTCAAGTTAAAGTCTTACTAGACTTGCACACAGCAGAATCTACTCAACTACTCATATGAGTTTAGACTATTAGAGTCTAAACTAAATTGCATAACAGATGCACTGGAGAGGGAGGGGGGAGAGAGAGAGAGAGGAAGAATGAACAATAAGAGAGATTTGTTTGTTTTG